TCCGTTACTGAATAGCATGAGACAAGTATGAAGTACCATTATATCTACAAAGGGCTTGGGCTTTATTTTTGTGCTTTGACTCCTGAAACAAGGCAGTTGCCTAAAGAGTAGCAGGATAAAAGAATAATGAACAAATTAGTTCCTCGGGCTTATAAATTACATCTTCAACCCAAGGCATACTGTGCTATTTTCAAGCAGTGGACCATGAAAGAGCTTCGGTTCTGTAGGACTTCTACAGAACAGGTAGTCCTTGACTTACAACAGTTCCTTTAGTGATCATTCAAAGTTACAACGGCACTGGGAAAAAAAGGGAACGACGACTGTTTTTGACACGATCGTTGCAGCAGCCCCGTTGGTCACGTGATCAAAATTCAGACGCTTGGCAACTGACTCATACTTAAGATGATTGCAGTGTCCCTTGGTCACGTGATCCGCTTTTGTGACCTTCTGACAAGCAAAATCAATGGGGGAGCCAGATTCACTTAACAACCAAGTTACTAACGTATCAGCTGCAGTGATTCACTTAACAACTGTGATAGTCGTAAAAAGGGGCAAAACCCGCTTAACAAATGTCTCACTTGGCAACAGAAATTTTGGGGAAAGCCAGATTTACTTAACAACCGTGTTGCTAACTTAACAACTGTTGTAAAACGAGACAAAACTCACTTTTCACAGTTACAACCTTCACAGCAACCCCATGATCATGTGATCAAAATTCAGACGCTGGTTAGTAACTGGTTCATTACTTATGACCATTGCAAGGTCCCCGGGTCACGTGATTCCCTTTTGCGACTTTCTGACAAGCAATGTCAATGGGGGAGCCAGATGCACTTAACAACCAAGTTACTAACTTATCAGCTGCAGTGATTCACTTAACAACTGTGATAGTCGTAAAAAGGGGCAAAACCTGCTTAACAAATGTCTCACTTAACAACAGAAATTTGGGGCTCAGTTGTGGTTGTAAGTTAAGAACTACCTGTAGATGTCTTCAGGTAGACGTTCAAACAAAATGGATGAGAACATCAAGCCCTGAGACAAATTATGAGCTTCTGTTTCAATTTCTCCCAGCCTGCCCATACCACATATCTAAGAGAAGGAAAGAGAACCAGTGAAACCCAGTACCTGCCCTGCCCCATTGCCCCCTTAATGGCACTGAATAACATTTCCTGGGTATTTGATCTTGAAGCAAGTGTCTTACCACACAGAGCCTTCAAAATCTTCATCAACAGATAACAGCTTTGGAAAAACAATTCTTCAAACCTAATCTGAGAACGATATTTATTTTTTATTTATTAAATTGTTATGCCCTATAAGTGACTCTGGGGGGCTGAGCAGAGAAGCCACTGTATAAAATAACATTTTTTATTCACACTGCCCGATGCTCCATTATAGTAGATTGTTGAATAACATAGAGTGATGGCTGCTACACTACACCCCATTCATTAGAAGCCTAAGCGGGTCCTTCTTTTGAATACGCATTCGTTATGATTACATAATGAAGCAGCCAAAGGAAAAAGTGAAAAATTAACAGCGATTTGCAGGCAGAGCATTGGCAGTACATAAGCACAATAACACCAAGGAGTGCCATGCAAATTGGAAAAAAAAAAAAAGTGGTTTTGTTATGAAGTAGACAGGCCCCAAATACGCAAACATCTGCTCTTACGCAGAGTCTAAATTGTTCCAAACATTATAATTTTCCGAATTTAAAAAATTGGCCATCGCAAACAAGAGCGTGTATCAATATACTTTTTTTAAAAAAATCTGCCCCGCTTGTCATTTATTCAGCAGTATTCAAAATTGTAAGTCTTCTGGCCATCGAAAACGCTGGTGTTGGGGGGAAGGGGGAGGGGTAGTTTATCTATTGCTTTTTTAGAGGCAGCTGCTGCCCACTCAGAAACAGATGGCAGGAATGTTCTGAATAAATCTGATCATTTAGCGTTAAAAAGAAGAGGGGTAAGCGCATGCTTAAGCATAGCATGCTATTTTATGCATGCCACTGATCTAATGGGTTGCTCATCCTATATATTCATTTGCAGGGCTGTTGATGCGAGGGAGGGCACATCTTGGAAAGCAGCTTTCAACAACTGTCTTTTAGATGTGTTGAATTCCAGTTGTGTTATATCCAAAATTTGTTGCCCGTGTTATCATTGTTTCTTTAACTTGTTCCTCTTCCATCTTTAAAAACTTAACATATATTTATAAAGTTTCTTAATCAATTTTTCATCTGATGTCAGTAGTATCTGGCCAAATTCTGTGTTCTTTATAAAATCCAGATGTTTTAACATCTTTTTTGTATCTCGTTTGGATTTGCAGATATGGCTACCATGGTAGGTCTATATCGTTCTTCTCATTCTTGTCTGTGTTTTAATTTTCCTTCATTATTCAAAGTGTTTTTATAGGTCACAATTAACTATGAATTCCAGTTCTTATCACCTCCAGCTTTGTAGCCACTGAGATTTTTGCTAGCTTTGAGTTTTTCACTGTCCCATTCCCTCCGCTTTGTAAAATGATTTGCTACACATCTTTTTAAAAAGTGTTTAAAGCATTTATGAATATTCTTAAAGGCCATTAGTTTGATCAGCTTTAGGTAGCATCAGTGAGACATATAATACAAAAAAACCAGCCATAGCTAAAATTAACCTGTGCTATTTGCCATATAAACATCCTTTGTTTTCCTTTTTCCTGTATTCATTACAACTGGTGTCGGGCAGCCGTGAGTAAAGTTTTTACATCATTTTAGTGTGTGTCAGAATGACCTGGAAATACCAAGATTTCAAATAATGTGCTAGAAAACGCAACATAGGGCTATGTGGAATTATGAGCTAGATTTTAAATATTTGCAATAATAATGATACAATGTTTGCATTTAGACCAAAATCAGTAGATCTAAATGTAGTATGTTTAGTGGGTCACCTTAAGAATGGCACAGCCTTACTGTATCATGTTAAGATGAATTTGATTTTGGCTTTGTGTGACATGCTGATCCAGCCAACGGTTATTTATTATAGACACTGTCAAGCAAGCATATGGGTTTCTGGTTTAAATCTATAATCAACCAAATATTTGAAACGGTTAAGAAAACAAAGCAACTTTCTTATGAACTTTGAAATTATGTTTGAATAGCAAGACAGGAAACAAGACTGGAAGAGTAGAGATCTTGAGTGGCTGAAACACAGTTTTATAGATCTTTTTATTCTTTTTCAGAATTCAATGTTCAGAATGATCTGTAGGCCTGCCCATAAAACTCCTGCCTACATTGATTTAAGATAGTGTTTCTCAATCTTGGTTAACTTGAAGAATCTGGACTTCAAGTTCCAGAATTCCTAGCTGAGGGAATTGCCTGAGAAATTCTGAGAACACATCTTGAAGTTACCAAGATTGAGAAGCACTAATTTAAAATCTTGGCTTTCACTGTACTTTTACAAATACTGTATATTCCGGCGTATAGGGCGACCTGGTGTATAAGGCGACCCCTGAGTTCGACACCGAGTCGCAAGACGATTGACGCCAAGTCGCATGCCTAGAAAGTCATCTTATACGCCGGAAACTACCGGTATTTCCGGCGTATAAGACGATAGACGCCAAGTCGCATGCCTAGATAGTCATCTTATACGCTGGAAACTACGTTATTTCTGGCGTATAAGACGATCAACGCCGAGTTGCATGCCTAGAAAGTCGTCTTATACACCAGAAACTACCTTATTTCCGGCGTATAAGACGACCCCCAAGTTCAGAGGCTGTTTCAATGGTCTCAAAAGTCGTCTTATACGCTGGAATATACGGTATACTGTTGTAGATTCCTTAGGCTTCCTCATTTAACTTGCAGATAATACTTTCCAAATAAAAATGAATGATTTCTGTCTGGAGGATACAAAACTGCCTGATGGTGGTTTCCTTAGAGACCACCAGATTTCACAGCTCACCCGTTAAAGCTCTTTTTAACCTTCAAAACAAGGCCTGACACTTGACTTTCCCTACAAGACTGCCTCCTCACAGCAATAGTGCTTAGACTTACCCCCCCCCCAAACCCCAGTGCTTTACAGCCCTCTCTGAGCGGTTTAGAGTCAGCCTATTGACCCCAACAATCTGGGCCCTCATCTTACCAACCTGTAAAGGGTGGAAAGCTGAGTCAACTTCAAGCCCTGTCAAGATTGAACTGCAATACTGCATTCTAACAACTGCATCACCAGGAGTCTCAAAGCATATAAGATTGCCTTTTAGTATTGCCATGTTTTGTGAATGCCGAAATCATCACAGCAATTATTTTTGTGAATGAGCTATCAACTCCCTCCGCCCCATACAAGAGCAATTACTAGAACACCCACAACCATCTCAAATGTGCCTATTGAACCAAGAATTGTGAGGGCTTCTCCACATATATATATACTGCATCTCTTCTTTCTCGCCTGCTCCTCAGTTTACAGGAAAATGCTATTAGTTGACAATAGTTTGTACCGAAATTCAGATCTGTGATAGCGATGGAGCAAATGAATAGCCAGGCTCAGAGCAGAGTAGCTGGGAAACCATGTTTTGCCAAGATATTAAACACAATTTGGGCCTCTTATAATAATAATAAAGTTGGGACTTTGGAGGTCATCTAGTCCAACCCTCTGCTCAAGCAGGAAACCCTATACCATTTCGGACAAACAGCTGTCTAGTCTCTTCTTAAAAACTTCCAGTGTTGGAGCATTCACCGCTTCTGCAGGCAGGTTGTTCCACTGGTTAATTGTTCTCACTGTCAGGAAGTTTCTCCTTAGTTCTAGGTTGCTTCTCTCTTTGGTCAGTTTCCATCCGTTGCTTCTTGTCCTGCCTTCAGGCGCTTTGGAGAATAGCTTGACTCCCTCTTCTTTGTGGCAGCCCCTGAGATACTGGAAGACTGCTATCATGTCCCCCCTCGTCCTTCTCTTCGTTAAACTAGACATACCCAATTCCAGCAACTTGTATGTTTTAGCCTCCAGTCCCCTAATCATCTTTGTTGGACTTCTCTTCACTCTTTCTAGAGTCTCAACATCTTTTTTACATCGTGGTGACCAAAACTGGATGCAGTATTCCACGTGTGGCCTTACCAAGGCATTGTAAAGTGGTATGAATACTTCATGTGATCATCTTCTTTTTAAAGAAAATGCAGAACCAAAAATCAAATAACATTAAACGTAATCCCATAAGTATATTGCCTTTCCTGCACAAGGGACTGGAAGAGAACCTCAAAGGCAGAAAATATATCTATAACATAACGCAGCCCAAAATCATGCATCTTTTGAGGAGACATTTTATTAAGATAAATCCAGCAAAATTCCTAACAGTGGGTATATTCAGTCAAACCTGTCCTTCTCTTTTTTAAAAGTTTTTTTTTGTATTTCATTTAAAAACATGATTACATATTTTAATATTATTCTCCAAAATGTGACAAAATAAAACTACATTTGGGATACAACAAGTTTCCAGCTTCTTAAGATTTTTCATGAAAATATCTCACCTTCTTTATAAAAGCAAGTCACAGAACCACCGGAATGTCTGACACAATTGTGGTTTTTGTGTGTATTTTTTTTTTTAGACCTCCCCACGTTAAGAAACCATACAACATGTAACAAGGGTAAAATTAAAATCTGAATTCCGTATGACTGACACACAAAGGGATTATATACTGATAGAAGTCAATAGCTACCACCACTGATTCTTTCTGGGTACCATACAAACTATGACAATCACAAAATTTTAAAAACAATAATTTTTTGTTGTTGTTGTCGTTGGTTGGTTGGTTTTGAAGTCCAAGTAACCGAGATGAAGATGTTCCATGATTAAATTCATGCTAAAAAAACCTGCATTTATAAAATAGTTGATAAAAATATTCCTCTCTTAACAATACAGTATGGAGGTACGAATACCAAATGATGGAAATGAAGAGGGCTAAATCTGTTACTCGGACTTGGCTTCCTTGTCATCAGATACTTCAGCAGCTGGTGCCTGTTAGTATTGGAGAGAAACAGAAATTGAATTAGACTTGGAAGAGAATCCATTGCAGAGGATGCTGGGTGTAACCGTAGCTCAGTCCCATAAACCATGAATTCTGCACAGTTTACCAACTTCCATTCTTGCACACAACAGCAGAAGCAGACTCCCAGCTTTGGCTTACTAGCTAACTCTAGCGCCCAACCATATTTTTTTTCCCTAACTCTGAACTCCTATGGCACAATGCCCATCGGTCTGTAAGGAAGCCATCTGAAAGCACGGGACGGTACAGCTTCCATGTATGGCTACCCTCTCCCGTATCACAGAAGGCCGCTGCTGAATTTAAAGAAAAAAGACATCCCTTTTAAAAACACATTGTGCCTAATAGGAATCTGCATCTCTACATAATATTGCTGGCAGTTTGGGTAAAATAAAAAACAAATAATGTGCTACACAGAAGAACAGAGAGAGAAAAAGAGAGAAATGTCTGCATGTTGGCTGAGGAAAAAAAGAAAACAGGCAAATAAATGAACTAAAATGGCCCGGTTTCTGGCCCTGGAGACTCACTTTTCCCTGTGGTGCAGGCCTTTCCTTTCTCCAGAACTGCTTCTCCTAAATAACTATTATCTGTGGTGTGTGTGTGTGTGTGTGTGTGTGTGTGTGTGTGCCAGCCCCCTCCATGCTTGTTTTAGGGAGAAGCTAAGCTAAAAACGAAAAGTAAAAGTTAAACGCCAGGTTTCCTTAACCACTGCGTGGTTCACTGCAGGGATCTGCTTAACAACCATATCGAAAAGGTCGTAAAATTTGAGCATGACCCACTTAGCAACTGTCTTGTTTTAGCAATGGAAATTCTAGTCTCAACTGTGTTGTTAAGTCAAGGACTATGTGTATAAGGATTGGATACAAAGCGGAAACTGTTGAGTGGAGTTCCCCGATTCTCTATGTCAGGGGTCCTCAAACTTGGCCCCTTTTAAGACGTGGACTTCAACTCCCAGAATTCCCCTGCCAGCCATGGCTGGCTGGGGAATTCTGGGAGTTGAAGTCCACAAGTCTTAAAGTGGCCAAATTTGAGGACCCCTGCCCTATGTATTTGGAAAAGATTCTCAGGACGGCGGGATATATCGTACCTCGTTAGTTTTGGTATCTCCGTTCTCAGAGTGGTTTTCTTCTTTAGCATCTTCTTGCTTAGTTTCATCTTTTCCTTTGGCTCCCTTCTTCCCTTTTGTTGTTACCTTTTTGTCTTCTTTCTTATCATTCCCTCCTTTTTCTTTCTGTTAGAGGGAATCACATGCACACACAGAGAATAAAGTCTCACTTGGTCACCCATCCTTTTTCAGTGGCCAGCCTCAAAAACACCACTGCCTAAATCTGGCACTCAAATATAAAATTAGTATCTTTATTTGTTGAGGGTAAAGCAATACAGTTAGTCCTTGCTTAGCGAGTGCCTCATTTAGCAACCGTTCAGTTACTACTGATGAAAAAGTAACTTTTTTTTTGACGAATCCTTGTATTTATAACCTTTTCAGGATGCATATTATCTTTAATATTTTTTTTCTTTAAAAAAAAGAGTATTGGCAATCTCATCCTGAAGTATGGATACTACTGAAAAATCACCGTCTCAAATAATGAAGTGTATACTACTCATTAAAAAAATCTTTTATCTGTGCTTTCAGCATAAGATTATCATATTTGGATGCCATGCAGGAGGAATTGTTAATGCAATTAAAAAGGCTGATAAAAACAAAATGCATCCAAATTGTATAGAGGTTTTCTGTGCCAGGATTCCCTGCTACTTTATCTGAATGTATCTTTTTGATTGGATAAAGAAAGGTTTATTTTTCTTAGCTAGCCCAATACAAAACAAAATAAGATAAATGTGGAGGTAATGACTTTAACTCATTTCCATTGTACATTGTAACCTGTGAAGAATGGCTATTTGGAAACATTGTCAAATCTGAGTTTCCAGGATACATTGCATGCTGCAAGTAATAATGTACACATATAAACCTAAGGAAGGAACATGCCAACTGCAAGACTAAATTTATTTTCTATGAATTAGCTAGGATCTCTTTTTTTGTATATATTTTATTAATTTTTGTAGGGTTAGGGTTAAGGTTAGGGTTGGTGGTTTTTAAAACAACATTCTTAATATTTAGCAAACAGCATATTGTCTGGGTTCATGTATTTAAAAAACAATAAGAGTTAATTTCTATATTATCTTAATCAGTATGTTAGTTAATCGCTCAATAGTCTTCTTCTTAGTATATATTCAATGTTACATAGTACACATCATGTTCCTTTCTCTCTAACTGGCTTTTCTAGCCATTGGTAAAAATTGTCCCATGTTCTAAAGTACACAGAGTCTTCTTTCTCTTTTATCTTTAATGTCAATCTGTCCATTTCTGCACAATCTAAAATTTTCTTAATTAGTTCTTCTTCCATTGGTAAGTTTTCATTTTTCCAATATTGGGCAAATACAATTCTTGCTGCAGTTAATACATGTAAAATTAAATATACACAATCTTTCTCGTAGTTTCCTCCTATTATGCCTAAGCTGGAATCTTGATGTAACTTTCTCTCAGTTTCATCACCACCACCACCACCACCACCAGATTCATTAAAGTAAAATTTTCAAACTTTTATTTACAATCCAGCCCTTTCATTGAAGCTCTGGCCAAGCTCAAAGTCATACAAAATCCAGTCAATATAGCACAGGGCTAAAATCAAGCACCCTTCTTAGTTACATTTCCATACGGTTTTCTCCTCCCTTTAACAAATTCACAGGAAAATCATGAATATAACTGAATAACATAGTTGGAAGGGACCTTGGAGGTGTTCTGGTAAAACCCTGCTCAATCAGGAGATCCTGTGCCATTTCAGACAAATGATTGTCCAATCTCTTCCTGAAAACATCCAGTGTTGGGGCACCTACAACTTATGGAGGCAAATCGTTCCACTGAACAATTGGGAATTTCTTAGTTCTAGGCTGGATCGCTCCTTAGTCAGTCTCCATCCATTTCTTCTTGTCCTGCCTTCAGGTGCTTTGGAAAATAGATTGACCCCCTCTTCTTTTGTGACAGCCCCTTAGATATTGGAACACTGCTATCATGTCACTCCTAGTCTTTTTTTTTTTCTCAATATAGGTTCCTTGTTCTCCTCTCGCAGTAACTCTAAGCCAGGGGTCTTCAAAACATGGTCCTTTTATGACTTGTGGACTTCAACTCCCAGAATTCCTTAGCCACCGTGCCTGGCTGAGGAATTTTGGGAGTTGAAGTCCACAAGTCATAAAAGGGCCAAGTTTGAAGACCCCTGCTCTAAGCTAGATTGAAAGTAACCCAGTCAAGCTAGCAGCAACCTTTAAAGATAGTGAATTAAAACTGTCCTTCCCCTCCTCTACCAATGAAGTTCTGCAGTTTAACCACTAAGTGTCATTCAATTCCCTCCATTTTACTTGATATGTCTTCTTTTCCATGGCTTATGTGAATGACAATCTGTCATCTTCAGATACAATCTGATCAGGGCAGAGATTTTACTTGGCTCCCACAGATAAACAGTCTGGAAAACGACTGCCTTGCTGATTGTTTTAAGATGCCAAGCCTATCCCAGACTCAAACAGCCTTGGCCCCATATTTTGGATTGCTAGGGATGTGTTCCCCTTCTAAAACCATCTGTCATGGTGGACAGCAAAGATTCTCAGGGGAAGGAATTTTCATTAAAAACTCCAGGGTTTGCTTACCCTCTTTCAAATCTGCACACTTAAGAGAACAACACAGTTGCTCATCTCCCCTTTCCCCCCCTTTTAGATACATCTTAGCTACTCAGTTCCTTGGCCATACAATTAAAACCATGCTCTCAAAGTAAGCAATGGACTAAATAAGACTGGGATCTCACATCCATATAATCAAAAGCCACTAATCCAAACTCTCCAAATATATTTCCCACTTAGTAAAAGTAAAAGTTATACTTTGTCGTTATCATCATCATCATCTATATCAGTGGTTCTCAACCTGTGGGTCGGGACCCCATTTGGGGTCGAAAGACCATTTCATGGGGGTCACCAAACAAGGCTGTCCGCCATTTTCCCCCCCTTTTCTTTGGCCACGCCCCTGGCACCCGGTGATGTATAAGTGGTTGGGGGTCACCACAACATGGGGAACTGTATTATGGGGTCGCGGCATTAGAAAGGTTGAGAACCACTGATCTATATCAAGAGTCCCCAACCCCTGGTCCATGGACCAGTAACATGGCGGGCATGTCAGAAACTGTCTGCGCAAACAAGCAAAGCCTCATCCGCGGGATGCAGGCAGTACATGAAACCATGCCCCCTCCGGTCCGCGGAAAAACCTCACTCCACGGAACCGGTCCCTGGTGCCCAACAGGTTGGGGACCTCTGATCTATATCATGTCATCCGTACACACGCAAACAAAAGAAAAAGCAACTTTCTTTATATCTATTCTAGCATTGAGGCATTCCGGACGCATAAGCATGTCATTTATTTACCTTCGGTGCTGCCTTTTTCGGCTTTGGCTCTGGTTTGGCTGGAGCAGGCTTCTGTAAGAAAAGCACATAGATATGCTGTAAAATAAACCCAGCATTCCTGTTTGTTCAATTTGCTGCAACAATCTCAA